GGTTTCTCAATTACCCACTTTGTTTAGAGTGTTACACATCTCTTTTCATCGGTACATATACCGTTGTTTACCTATCTATGGAGGAGACACATTAATTAATGCCATTGTGGTTCATTGTGTTGTCCACTTGTTACATAACATCGTCAACAGGAGTTGTGCGCTTTCACGAACTATCCCCTCATTTTTAGGAAAAGGCTCTCTGGTTTTATCATTCTAAAATAATTACAGACTATTTGGAGTTATGAGGGGTGCCAAGCTAATCTAGAGGTACCCAGGATGAAACATTAATTGGCTGGAAATGAGTAAAATGAGCATGCCATGGGCACTTTAATAAATAACACTGAATGACTTCAAGACTGTATGAAAGCGTTCGCTGTTGTGCCCATGTAAATATTTGCAATGTTATGCAAATGTTCATGGCTACAGGAACCAAAGGTGCTGGGGCCAGAAGTTAGGTATTCCCTGCCTAGTGCTGATTTGTGGTGAAATAATCTCAGTGTGTCAGTGTTATAAATGGCTTGAAGAAGGTATATGATTTGGGAATGTGGTTAGATAGCATGAAAGAAGTAACCTGCTGGAGAACACACTCACAGCATTTTAGAGAGAGTTTTTTTTGTTTGTTTGTTTGTTTTTTTTAAGATCTGTTTTTGACAACCTGAACAATTTTCTTAAAGGTTTCTGGTAAAATTTGGGTTGTCTGCTGATGTAGTAAAATCTTTGACTGTTGTATTGTTTTTAAATGTGTAAGGGTTAATCTTTTCCCATGGATATACTTCCTTGATTTTTTGGAACTTGTATTTCCTGTGTCCACTCTGTGTTAAGCTAAGCTAAACAAGAGTCAGACGACACACAGTGAAGAAGTAATAGAGCTAATGGCAAATAATTCATTACATTTACTGTATGAACATATCTTCAACACAAACCATTTAAAATGAGCAAATAAATATCATTTAACATTTAAACTGAACTTACTACACTGAATCATAATTGTTACTGACTCAGTCAGTAGCTTTCAGCTCAGCTGTCATTCACAATATGCTACTTCCTGGTTAAAAGCCTACTGACAGAATCATGTCATAAAGAGTTTGCTGCTGAACTATTTAACAGAAGCTCTGCTTATATAGGCCTAGTTTTGTACTGAACCTAATGCTACAGTTTGAGCCTGCAGCAGATGAGAGACAGTCAGAATCAGAACATGACTGAAATCTGAACGTGGCTGCATTATGAACAGTGATATAATCACTTACCAACGTATGTACTGAAGTGCATTTGAATTATGTCTTTTTTTCATCCTAGGAAACTATGAACCAAGTAAAAAGCCAGTCACTGCAAATTATCTATGTGAACTGAAAGAAACAATTCATACTAAATTATTCAGAATTTTCACCACTAAACCATGTTTCCTAAAATGTAAGACAGTACCTTCAAATAGTTTTTGATCCTGTTTCTGACCTGTCATCTCCCAGCTCAGCCACCCTCCCTGTCACATTTAAATGTCTGGAGGAAAACAACAAAATTGATAAGCGAATCACACGTTTTGTGCTGCCTGTCGGTGCCACCATCAACATGGATGGAACAGCTCTCTATGAAGCGCTGGCAGCCATCTTCATTGCTCAGGTCAACAATATAGAAATGAACTTTGGTCAGATAATCACCATAAGGTAAGATTTTTATTTAAGAGAAAGGAGGATGATAACCAAAATTGCTGCAAATACTGAAATGCAAATAAAATAAGTCTGTTTGTGTGTTTCTTTTCAATCAAGTATTACAGCAACTGCAGCGAGTATTGGAGCGGCTGGCATCCCTCAGGCAGGCCTGGTCACCATGGTGATAGTACTGACCTCCGTTGGACTTCCTACTGATGACATCACTCTCATCATTGCAGTTGATTGGTTCCTGTGAGTAGGCTGAACAATAATACAATACAACACAACATCTATTCAAATTAGGGATGGCCTGATCCAGTTTTTTGTCCCCGATACTGATCAGATTCCTTCAATATTGTCTGCCAATACCGATTCTGATCCTATACTTATATTTACCTACAGTCAGTGTTCATTAAATAGTCTCTTGCATGCACATAGCGGGAGGCTTGCCTGTGTCTATATCAAGCATGTGTTCACTGCATATAGGAATCAGACGGTGTACAAAAACACACAGAGGAGCCCACAGACACATTTTGAAAAAGCGGACTATGGTCCAAAAGTATGTCAAATAATAGAGAATGAGGAAATTACTGGCTATACTTGCATGTATATTTACAGTGTATCCAACAACAAAAAACTATGCAAACTTTACAAAGAACTGCCATGTTCAGTAGGATTGGTGTAACAGATAATGTCTTTTCACTGTTTTTGTTTGAGATATATTTCTATTTTGGTGACATTCTGGTTCAAACAAGTGAGCTTTTGTTGTTTTGATGGATTCTATGGCACTTTTTTATGTGCATAGCTCTTGTTTTGTTGTTATGGCACTTTTTTATGTGCATAGCTCTGAAAAAATAGGTTGTGGCCACAATATGTAAAGCACCGGTGATATGCTAGCCTACATGCCAGCAGTGTAGACAGCTGGATTGATTAGTATAGCAGTTTATCAGATGCATAACACATGCATCTCAAAAAAGCAACTGCTCAAATACAGGTCTGTGTTCTGGCCTATACCGATCATATGAAATATTCCCTGATTGGCACTCAGACTGATACCTAGTATCACACTGGGACATCTCTAATTCAAACACATTGTTCTGTGAAATGCTATAAGTGTACCTACCATCTTGGATGAATCATTTTTATTTTAAAGGTCAAAATCATCTACATATCTACTACCACCTAGTGACACACTTCTTCTGTCTCCCTGGAGTCTTGTTCTACATCATCCCTTTGTATTGAATATTTTTGCAATGAGTTTTAACATAGAAACATAATTATGTTTCCCAAATTAATCATTTCAATTAGAATACCCTTCCCAGAAATTACTTAGCTAACTGGGGTAATAAGAAGAAATCCTTCTCTTCTTTAACTAGGAAGGACCAAATACTCTACAAATGCTTGTGTTACATAGGCCCTTCTCACACCGAATAGGAAAAAGTATAGCCTCTAACAAGCCAATCCCAGCTGACAAAGGGTGAGAGGCAGGGTACACCAGTCTATCACAGGGCTGACACATAGAGACAGACACCCACACTTCAGGCAATTTAAAGTCACCAGTCAACATCAGCTGCATGTCTTTGGACTGTGAGAGGAAAAACCTGCTCCTGGGTCTGAATTATATTTGTGTGTGTGTGTGTGTACGACTTTTCAGAGTTGCTCCAGCCTCATCTGTGCCTATAAGAAGTGGAATTGATTCACGCCTGCATTTATCTATGGTGCTAGAAACAAGCAATGGGCAAAACCGCTCCACAAATTTCACATGAGAGATCCTGACAGGATATACTGGACATAAATACCCCGTTTGCAAAGCTGGGAGAATAAAGTTTATGTGGAATCAATTTCCACAGTAGGAGAAGTGCTGTGAGAGATACCCTGCAGATCACAGCTGTTGCATCGCCAGTCAAACTAACAAAAGCTGACAAGGGAATAAGTGTAAAAATACTGCACATACCATGTTATTTATCAGCCAGCCAGACTAAAGTTACTTAGTGTAAGATAATGTTGCACAGTAAGAACAGCCAGCAGTTCACTTACAGCGTAACAGTGACAGTGGCTCGGCTTTATAGAAACAAATGTTATGGTTGGCAACAGGGGGACCCAAATGCAGACTCAGACCAGAGTTTGGTAATGAAGGTTTTACGAAAACAGACAAAAGGCTACAGGCAACAAAACACAAAACCCAAAGGCTCAAACCTGACTACATACAAACCCAAATCATCCACAGGGATACAATAAACTAACTACTACTACTACTACTACTACTACTACTACTACTACTACTATTAACTAACTAAACTACACAGGCAGGGAGCAACCTGATGAAATTAGGAACATAACTAATATAATTAACAAACAATAAGAACAGGGAAAGTCACAAACCAAAAAACAAGAGGGAGTGAAACCTGAGTCCATATAAACAGAGTCCAAAATCACAGATGAGGCATGAGGGGTGAGTAACCAGTTGGAGGAGGAGGAGCAGAATGTAGAGATGAGCACAGGAGGAACCAGCAAACCTGACTGAGGGAGGTGAAGTGATTATAAGAGCGGAATCAGGTCAAGACAAGAGAGGGAAATTTGTCTTAAATAAACTTTGAAAGATAGCTGCTCAAACTGCCTTAGAGGGACTGCTGAAGCTATATCAGACAAACTATCATTTTTACACAGAGGTAGAGCTGTGAATGTTGTCCTCCATTTCTTATGCGTTCTGTGTGGAAACTTTAGGGTCAGTGTGGAGAATAGGAAAAACTACAGCAACTGAGACCTATTCTCATGTACAAATGAGCTCGTCGAAAATCCCAAACCTATCCAACATTTTACCCATATATGTACCTTTTTACTCTCTCTTTATCCTGTTGGGGTATAGGGATCGTCTGCGCACAACCACCAATGTTTTGGGGGATTCGATTGGAGCTGGCATTGTTGAGTTCTTGTCTCGACACGAGCTCCAAACCAGAGATGTGGAGATGGGAAACTCGGTGCTAGAGGAGAAGGAGAGGAAGAAACCTTACAAGCTCATCGGCCAGGATAGTGATTTTGATAAACATGCTCACTGTGAATCAAACATTTAGTTCAACCTTCAACATCTGTTAACACAGCTGGTTTGATTTTTGGGAATAGGGACATAATTGTGAGTTGTTATAAGCTATAGTTTTACTGTCATTATTTCACATTGGATTTGTTAGCATTTCTTTTTTAGTCATGAATTTCTTAAATTCCTTATTTATCGAATATTCCAAAGCTTGAGTCCTTTAATATATGTCATTTGTTTCAAATAGGACTGGTAATTTCAGTTCTATATATTTGCTAGCTTATTTCATATTTTAAAATATAACCGCATATTACCCTCATGGAGAGTTTGTGTAGAGGCAGTGAAGGTAGGTTTCAGTGCATGCTGGATGAAGGATTTAATAACTGAAGTGAACATGGTGCTTTGAAAATACACAGCAGATATCTGAGGCCACTAAGCAGGAACAGGAAATAGGATGCTGAGTGCAAATACTCACAGATGGTATCATGAACACAGTGAATGTTTTTGAAGAGATTATGTGAAGAAATTATGAATTCCCAAACATTGGTTGTTAATATAACTGTTATGCACAGTTCAGACTACATGATTTAAGCCTGAGAACAGCCCGACATGATGGACGAAGAGCATCAGAACTGAAAAATGGAGTTGGACATGATACGTTTTATCTTGTGTAGTGTGTCATAGTAAATGACAACGGATGCTGCATCTGGGACACCTCATGATGTCCCGACACAAAGTCTAGCATGTCTTAATTTTTTTCACATTCTACAACAAGATGGGCCAAGGCTGACCGCTAGGAGTACAGATGACTCTTCTGTTCACAATGTTTTGGGCATATTGGGCTGAACCATATTCATTAAATGTCACTGTGATACAGCTAAAATTAGCATAATGACTTTCACGGTCAGCCTTGTGAAGTAGCTACCCTATCAGGGTTAGCTAGCTAGTTTTTGGTTTTACTAGTCTTAAAACATTTATTTTTAACTGCTACTTTGTGCAATCCAGATAGGTTAATGGTTGCCCCCATTCCATTCTTTTTTATGCTTTTCCAAACACAAGCAGCCAGTATCACATACACTCTGTGATCTGTGGGGTACCAGCGTGTAGTCTGTCATATTCCTCATCCTAGAATGTATGACTCTATAACTGTGTAATGTGACATAGTGACCATCATATCAGACAAAATGAATCATGTAGTCTGAACCAGGCATTAGAAACGTGTGTTTTTACAAGTGTATTAGACATTTTGAGTTTTATGTTTCAATGGTACAGACTCACAGACTCTCTCTCACACACCTTTTTTTAAATTAACATTGCTCATGTGGTGTAGATATGAGACAAGTGACTATGTTGGATGTTTAATAATGTTAAAGTCTCTGATTTCATTATGAAAGTGTGAAACAGGTATAATAAATTTTGTTTATTCTAACTTATGTGAAATAAAAAGAAAAAGGCATTTCTTGCCTGCCTCTGCTGTATTTCGAATGTAGGGGGCAATTCAGTGGGTTAAAAAACAAATATTTACTAAATTGTGCTTATATACTCTGAAATAGTATGACAGTGTTGCATACTTCACACATATAACGTTACAAGGTAACTATGAGTTGTATGTGAAACAAGAGACATTACATTATGCTTTGATAGTTAAACAAACTCCCCACTTTTCTAGTTGAGCTGATGTCATAAATTTTAAGAGCTTCTTACTAAAATACTACATGGACGCTCTGTTGTGTCCAAAATAATCTAACTATGTGGCGAGGACCAAAACCCAGCAAAAAATAAAACTTAATAATTCAGGAACATGGTACTGGTTTCTGCTAATTGCACAACAAAACACTAATGTTGCAGTCAGTTAGAATGACTCAAAATTACAACCAAAATAATGTAATACAAAAGGTACAAAGTTGAAATGTTAATGTTAGCTTTATAATGATGCTGACTGGGGAGGACTGCTGTTTCCTGTTTCTGCAGTAATCGTATTCACTTCCTGTTTACTGTGCCTGCACCGTGTTGTGCTTGCTACCAGATGGTTTACGGATTAAGCTCACTAATTTCTAGGTTTATCTGAATATTAGTTTTTTCTTTTTTTTTAGTCACGATTTATGCCTGCACTACTTAAGCACCTGTGTTACAGAATTTCTTGCCAATTACCTCATTTTACTTGCTACTTTAGGTCAGCTAGCTTAGAAGCTAGCTAAGCTAGTAGCTTAGTTGAGAGCAAGTCGTAGCTTGACACAAATGCCCACGGCGCATCACGTGCCTGTTCATGTTTCAAATCAGTTTTTCCCACTCAGTGATACACTCACAAGGAAACCCACTATGGTAATTGGTGACTCCATAGCCAGAAAAGTGAAGCTAGAGACATCAGCAGCCATAGTCTAATGTAGCCCTCGGACCAGAGCAGTCGACATCGAATCCTATTTGAAGCTGCTGACTAAGGATAAGCGTAAATAAAGAGGGGTTGTTATTCACGTCGGCGCTAATGAATCCCAACTTCGCCAGTCAGAGATCACTAAAACTAATGTTGAGGTGGTGTGTAACTTTGCCAAAACAATGTCAGACTCTGTAGTTTTCTCTGGACCCCTTCCCAGTCTGACCAGTGATGACATGTTTAGCTGCATGTTGTCATTCAACTGCTGGCTGTCTAGGTGGTGCCCAAAATACGATGTGGGCTTCGTGGATAATTGGAAAACATTTTGGGGAAAACCTGATCTGATTAGCAGAGACGGCATCAATCTCACTTTGGATGGTGCGGCTCTCATTTCTATAAATCTGGATGAGATTATTTTACAACCTAAATTATGACAACCCAGAGTTAAGACTAGGACGCAGGGTTGCAGTTTTACACATCTCTCTGCAGTCTCTTTGCAGCTGCTACCCACCGAGAACTCCCAGTACTGTACAGTACAGAGTACAGGTCTACATGTAAACCAAGTCTCTAGAACTGCCTTCTTTCATTTGCACAATATCGACAAAATCAGGAACATTATCTTTCAAACTATTTAATAGATTTGTTACTTCCAGGCTGGACTACTGTAACTCTTTACTATCAGGATGTCCCAGTAATTCCCTAAAAAGCCTCCAGTTAATCCAAAATACTGCAGCTCCTAACATACAAAGCCCTTAATGACAAGGCTCCATCGTATCTTAAAGACCTCGTAGAGCCTTATCATCTAACAGAGCACTTCGCTCTCAGAGTGCAGGTTTACTTGTGGTTCCTAGAGTCCACAGAAGCAGAATGGGAGGCAGAGCCTTTAGCTATCAAGCTCCTCTCCTATGGAACCAGCTCCCATTCTCAGTTTGGGAGGTGGACACCCTCTCTACTTTTAAGATTAGACTTAAGACTTTACTTTTTGATAAAGCTTATAGTTAGGGCTGGATCAGGTGACCTTGAGCCTTCCCTTAGTTATGCTGCTATAGGCCTAGGCTGCTGGGGGGTCCATGATGCTCTGAGCTCCTCTCCTCTCTCTCCATCTATCTATATGCCACAATTATGTGTCACTAACTGTGTGTCTCCTCTCTCCCATAGTGTGTCCTCTCTCTCTCCCCCTGTACCTTTCTGCAGATAGCCCTGGCTCTGGAGCTCTATGTTTATGGGGATTTGTTGAGTTTTTCTTCTATAATAATAATAATGATAATAATAGTATGGTCTAGACCTTACTTTGCAAAGTGTCCTGAGATGACCTGATTTGGTGCTATACAAATAAAATTGAATTGAATATTGTACTTACTTAACTTAATTAGATGCACCATGTTCTTAAACTCAGACAGAAAAGACCCATGAAACAGTTAGAACATATGCCATATGATAAGAAGACAAAGAGTTACCTCCTTAACAAAGTGACATTATAATTAGTAGTTGTAAAATCATGTAAAAATGCTGTAGGCAAACTAGTACTGTATGTATTTCTCATAATGGTTACTGAGGTGCTAGACAAATATAAGATGAATCAACCTCACTATGTGACACAGAGCCTGCAAAATAACCATATTTCCTCAAATACCTCACTGCCTTCATAACCTTGAATATTTTAAAACCCCTTAACTGGGTAGATGGATAGAAAAGAACAGTAGTGATTGGAGCCGTACTATGATTACTTGTGTAAAAATACTGTGATACATATAGAAAAGTAGAAATACTGATTGTTTACTTGAGTGGAATGCTGCATGCATAGCAGAATGTCTCTTCTTCTTTCTGTGCTCACCCTCATCACTCATTTGCCTTACTCATTGCTGCCCATAACCTTGACAAATGTACAATGTTTCTCTAAACACTGGTGAGACAAGAGTTCCCTCATTACAACAGATGAATCCATTAGTAAAATAAAACAAAATAAAACAGGAATAAAAAGGGTTCGGGTTCTTTGACCTAGGCAGATGTAAGGTGTCAAAAGTGGGTGAGTCATAAATCAATCCATTTCACACCTAGATTGACTTGTGCATCCTATTACTCTCTGATTAATTAATTAGAATTTTTTCCCAAAATGGTAGAGTAAAAAAACTTCATTCTTTGTGAAGTTGTAGTCTGCCTCATCTAGAACAGAAAAACATAAGTCCCTGTGAGAACTCACGGACCAAATTGTTTTTATGCAGCCTCAAAATGCACAACAAAAGTAATGTGTTTATACAAATAGGGGACTTTATTTTGAAAATTTTCCTAAATGATAAAGTAATAATACTTCAGTATTTGTGAGGTTCCAGTCTGACTCGTCTAAAACAGAAAAACATCAGTCCCTTTGAGAATTAATGGCCTAAACTTTTCTTAAATTGCCTTAAAATGCAAAACATACTATGAGGACCTTTTTATAATTGAGAAAGAATAAACTGCACTTAATTGGCTATATTTAAAAGTTCTGCGCGTATAGATTAATTAATATAATTGCGTTTGTCTATAGTCATTTTCATGTCTTTCTCAGGTGTTTTATTTTGAAAACCGGATTAGTGAACCTGTTTCCAAATATTTAGCGTAAATCATGGTTTATAGGCGCACTTCAATTTCACGTGCGTCTCATTTGACCACAGAAAACCCGAACGACGGCTGGTTTGACAGGCAGTCAGCAGAATTCATTAAGACGAACGGTCAGTTTGCTCGGGATCCTCCATCTCCTGGTTTGACAGGCAATCAGCAGAATTCATTAAGACAAACGGTCAGTTTGCTCGGGATCCTCCATCGTAGCATCATCTTCTCTTCCCATTGTCCTGGGTTTTTAGTGATTAGCACTATGTCATCCACCGAGTGTAGAGACCTGGGGCGGGTGATGTGCATAATCACCGGGGCTTCCAGAGGTTTTGGCCGGGCTTTAGCGAGGGAGATGCCTCGGCTGCTGAAACCCCGGTCAGTCCTCGTCCTGGTGGCTCGCTCCGGTGACGAGCTGCGGACTCTGCAAGCAGAGCTGGCCGAGTCGGAGACAAGCAAAGCGAGTCTGCTGGTTGAGCTTGTGGTGGCCGATCTGGCTCAGATGGAAGGACTGGAAAGCGTCGTCAGATAGTCTAAAGAGGCTTTTTCCGAGGATATAGATCACATTATACTGATCAACAACGCAGGTACGACGTGAGCAAACAACTGAGATAGTGTTCCAGGCTCAGTGAACCATGTGGTTTTCATTGCTCAGTGACAGATCAGCTATATTTATTGGTTCCTTCTCTTTTTAAGGCTGTAGGACGTAGCCTACTGTATGTAATCTAACGAACTACATTTACTCAGCTACACTAACGTAGCAGCCTATTTAAATAATGGCATAAAGTGCTTGTGTACTTTACGTGCGTATTTCCATTTCATGTTTTACATCTCCTTCAATACACTTCAGGGGAAAGTATTTGTACCACACCTTTGACACAATATTTGGTATAGGCTACATTAAGATTTTACATAAGAAACATATGACAAGTGTTTGTTCTGTAATCTGAACACAGTGTATTAAATATGGAAATGTATTTTCACCTAAATTAACTACAACTTAAAAATGCTACTTAGACTGCAGTAGTGCATCCATAATAGGACTGAATGAACTGTAAACTGCAACTTGTGTTTGGATAAGGCCTGTTTATCTAAGGTAAATTTGCTCAGGGGGATTAGTAAAATGTATGCATGAGGCAGGCTTGAGTCCTTCCAGTTTTGTGGTAGTATAAGCAAGCTAACATGAGCATGGATGGATTACTGACATGGCGGATCAGGTCAGTCCACACAGGTCTATTTGCAACTATGCAGGTCACAGATAAACCGAGCTGTCCTAGGAACAATTGAAGACAAAGGCAGGCACAGGCATTATGTACAGTACCTTCTTGAATAGGATGAGGTAAGTCATGCTGTCTAGACAGTTAGGACATATGGTCAGTCCTTCTGAATACACACTCATCTCCTGCATCCTCTTACAGACATCTCAGACCTTTAGTCATACAATCATAAACTCTAATGACATGATGGATCATGATGACCTGGTTAAATAAACATCAGCTTCTTGGGACTTCAGCTGGATGTAAGCCCTGCAAAGTTATGTTAGAACATAGTATATAATTTTTTGTGCTGATATGAGCATAAGATCAGCTCCTACACATCCTGCTAGTATTCTGCACTTTGTTTGTTAGTCATGTCCAGACCAGGGTAGACCAAGCATGTATACAGCACACAGACTAATGATAAACATACATGACATGATAAATGCTAGTTAAACATAATGATTGCCACCATAATATCAGAGCTGTGATTCTATATAAAGATATCAGAACACTATTCCTTGCTAGAGATCAGTTAAAAATGCATTTACAAAAATTACCAGTTCATAATTTTCTTCCCTATCTACCTCACATCCCAGTCACAAAGCCAGGGGCGTCACAGTGAGGTGCAAACACAGAAAAGCATGGAATGGCCTCTTTAAATGTGCTGCTCTACATAATGAATACTTTTACTTTTGTTACTTCAAGTATATTTTTATGCCAATACTTATGTACTTTTACTAATATAATATTTTGAATTAATGACTTTTACTTGAAACACAGTATTTTCACACTTTTGTGTTGGTACTTTTACTATAGTAAAGGACCTGAGTACTTCTTCCACCGCTGTGAAACATACATCAGTGACACCTCCATCCCTTTCCTTGCAGCCTCTCTGGGTGATGTGTCTCGCTATGCTAAGAGCTTCACTAACATGGCTGAGGTGGACTCCTACCTCTCTTTCAATGTTAGCTCCACCCTGTGCCTCACTGCCAGAATCCTGGAGGCTTTTCCACAGCGTTCAGGTCTACGACGCACTGTGGTCAACATCAGCTCACTGTGCGCCCTGCAGCCTTTTTGCTCCTGGGTGTTGTACTGCACTGGCAAGGCTGCTCGTGACATGATGTTCAGGGTGCTTGCAGATGAAGAGCCAGACGTCCGGGTGCTCAACTACTCTCCAGGTGGGGAACCGACCATTTGTGCTTGTTACATTCAAGTTTAGTCAGTCAACCAGGGGCATTTCTGCCATTTTAGGGGGGCAATTAGAAAGTTTTAAAAATAGGAATTTTGGTATATTGGCATTAATTATCTCTATCACAAAGTATAAATATAGCTATAAATATAGATCAAATATGAACAATATTTTCTGTCCTCTGTATTGAACCAGGGCCTATGAACACAGCCATGCAGATGGAGGCCAGATCCCAAACAGCTGATCCTGGTATAAAGAAGTCTTTCTCAGACATGTTTGCTCAGGGCCAGCTGCTCACTTGTGAAGAGTCATGTGCCAAACTGATGAAGCTGCTGCAGGAAGACAACTACACATCAGGAGCTCACATCGACATCTACGATGTCTAGCCACAGCAAGAATACTTACAGGCATTTAACAGTGGGCCAGATTTATGTGTGCCTTGATTTTGTTATTGAAACTGTTGATAAACTGACCAATCTGACAACATTGCATCATTACAAGAGAAACCCCTGTTAGATCATTGTCTTCCTCTCCTCATTTTGGTGTGCCAAACAACAATTTGCTCAATGCTTCACCCTGTGGTTGGGGGGGAATACCTACTTCAATGCTGACACTGTGATGCATGAATGCATAAAGGTCCACTATTTATGAAACTGTTGCCCAAAACAAGGAGAAAAAGACAAAATCCATTAGGACAAGACAAAATCTCACAAAGGTGAGATCTGTACTTTATTAGAAGTGTTTTCAAACATTGTGGTCTACATCACGACAATGTGATTGGTTTTGCATTAGCCCCACTGTGGCTCTCATGTATTACATACACTCGAGTCACAGAGCTATTCTTCTGTGAGCTTTTGCAATTGAAGCTTGTTGAACATTTTAACCTTGTGCCATTGTTTCACAACATTTACACAAATTCTGAAGGTATTTCCAAATCCTCACAGGCTTTTCTAACAATGCAGAATTAAAAACATTCCAGTCCAGGAAAAATATAATTTTTATCAGTTTCTTGGGTCACAGAGTTTATTTTCAGTTAAGTTGGGATGGATGTTAAATAGGTAACAATTAAAATCTTGCATCATATGCAGTTTTGATTACTGATGTTAATGTGGTCTAAATTATCAATCTATTCATTTTCTGATGGTCTATGCTGTGCATATATAATAAAAAAAGGATGAATAGTCACACTAAACAGCTCGGCCCCTCTGCACAATTAGCCAGTAACAGAGACTATATGAGCAAACAGAACGTAGACTTGCAGGATGTCTTCATGTCTTTGCCCACAGCCAACTCAGTCCCTGTTTTACCTCTAAACCACCAAGTAAAGTCCTCTTTTTACCTCTAAACTAGTATAAACGCCTCTTTACACATTGTGCTTATAATGCCAATATTCAACCAGTCAAAGGCCACAGCTCTTGTTACTTGCTTCTTGTGCTGCTCGACTGCTGTCAGTTGAGGGTGCTATTAGACCGGATAATGGGAGGACTAGGGGAAAACCAAAGATAAATCAAAGGAATAAGGTGGCTAAAGCCCCAGCCTGAAGCTTTTCATTAATGTTTTCCTATTGTGGTTTTAGATATTATTTAATCGCAATTGTTTTCATCAATCAGGTAAATATGAATAAAAAAAGATGATTAGAATCACTAGCTGTGACTGAAAAAATAAGAATTTTATTCAGTAAAACGGATTTAACAAGAATGCTAAATACAACAAATTTCTTCATATCAGATCAGCCAGTGCTAGTGACCGTCTTCAGTGAAGTTTAAAAGTTTGTGAGATTGTGTTTAACTGAAAAAGGTAAGATTCTTTCCACAATGATAGTTTTTGTTTAAAGGGCCTATGGCATGCTTTTCCTTGTTTTATGACTTATCTTAAATGTTACAACAGTGAATCATCATCTTAGATGTGACATAAAAACCTCAAAAAATAAGGTTTATGTATGTTCCAGTATCTCTATGCAGAACCAACTTCGTTTATACACATCCTGCAAACTCTCACTCTCAAGACTTTTTTTCCCCAGCAAAATAAAGTATTACGTGATAGTTTAAGGTTTTCCTTGAATGGGCATTATCTCCAGGCTGTTGCATGTTCAGTGTTCATGTGAGCTTGCCTGACATCCACCAGTGCCTCCACCATATTGGTAGAATGTTATATTGCCTTGTTTGTTATGTACATTTTAAGCTTATTAAAAAAAAAAAAAAGACATCCACCAGTGCCATTGTAAAAGCAAAATTTTTTTTGAAATTGCAAAGCTGTCTAAACATTACAGAGTGACTGTCACGTGGGCGCACGAGTGGCTGGCTATGTGTAAAGCTGAAGGCATTTCCATAGATTTACTACAACCGCTCAACCCTATATTGGATCGCACATCTGCGATCAAACTGAGCTGATGATGAAACGATGTAAACTCTCTATTCGTACGTGATGTCAGCCTCCCATTGTTACTATCAAGTAGGATATGCTGTAATCATATACAGCAATTCTGATGACTGCAGAACATACAGTATTGTTCAAAATAATAGCAGTACAATGTGACTAACCAGAATAATCCAGGTTTTTAGTATATTTTTTATTGCTACATGGCAAACAAGTTACCAGTAGGTGCAGTAGATTCTCAGAAAGCAAACAAGACCCAGCATTCATGATATGCACGCTCTTAAGGCTGTGCAATTGGGCAATTAGTTGAAAGGGGTGTGTTCAAAAAAATAGCAGTGTGGCATTCAATCAGTGAGGTCATCAATTTTGTGAAATAACAGGTGTGAATCAGGTGGCCCCTATTTAAGGATGAAGCCAGCACTTGTTGAACATGCATTTGAAAGCCTGAGGAAAATGGGTCGTTCAAGACATTGTTCAGAAGAACAGCGTACTTTGATTAAAAAGTTGATTGGAGAGGGGAAAACCTATAAAGAGGTGCAAAAAATTATAGGCTGTTCAGCTAAAATGATCTCCAATGCCTTAAAATGGAGAGCAAAACCAGAGAGACGTGGAAGAAAACGGAAGACAACCATCAAAATGGATCGAAGAATAACCAGAATGGCAAAGGCCCAGCCAATGATCAGCTCCAGGATGATCAAAGACAGTCTGGAGTTACCTGTAAGTACTGTGACAGTTAGAAGACGTCTGTGTGAAGCTAATCTATTTTCAAGAATCCCCCGCAAAGTCCCTCTGTTAAAAAAAAGGCACGTGCAGAAGAGGTTACAATTTGCCAAAGAACACATCAACTGGCCTAAAGAGAAATGGAGGAACATTTTGTGGACTGATGAGAGTAAAATTGTTCTTTTTGGGTCCAAGGGCCACAGACAGTTTGTGAGACGACCCCCAAACTCTGAATTCAAGCCACAGTACACAGTGAAGACAGTGAAGCATGGTGGTGCAAGCATCATGATATGGGCATGTTTCTCCTACTATGGTGTTGGGCCTATTTATCGCATACCAGGGATCATGGATCAGTTTGCATATGTCAAAATACTTGAAGAGGTCATGTTGCCTTATGCTGAAGAGGACATGCCCTTGAAATGGTTGTTTCAACAAGACAATGACCCCAAACACACTAGTAAACGAGCAAAGTCTTGGTTCCAAACCAACAAAATTAATGTTATGGAGTGGCCAGCCCAATCCCCGGACCTTAATCCAATCGAGAACTTGTGGGGTGATATCAAAAATGCTGTTTCTGAAGCAAAACCAAGAAATGTAAATGAATTGTGGAATGTTGTTAAAGAATCATGGAGTGTAATAACAGCTGAAAGGTGCCACAAGTTGGTTGACTCCATGCCACACAGATGTGAAGCAGTTATAACAAACTGTGGTCATACAACTAAATATTAGTTTAGTGATTCACAGGATTGCTAAATCCTAGAAACAAAAACGTTTGTACAACATAGTTTTGTGTTTGTACAGTCAACGGCAGACACTGCTATTTTTTTGAACACACCCCTTTCAACTAATTGCCCAATTTCACAGCCTTAAGAGCGTGCATATCATGAATGCTGGGTCTTGTTTGCTTTCTGAGAATCTACTGCACCTACTGGTAACTTGTTTGCCATGTAGCAATAAAAAATATACTAAAAACCTGGATTATTCTGGTTAGTCACATTGTACTGCTATTATTTTGAACAATACTGTATTTTGGGCTCATCAAAGCCACCGTCACCCTCCCTCACCGTCTGTATTTTCCCTTACTGCTGTATAAAACACCAGGGAGGACATTACAAGTGCTATGGATGAGAAAAAATATACGATGGGGATATTTATTGACCTAAAAAAAGCATTTGATACAATTAATCAAGCTTATTAAAAAAAAAAAAAAGACATCCACCAGTGCCATTGTAAAAGCAAAATTTTTTTTGAAATTGCAAAGCTGTCTAAACATTACAGAGTGACTGTCACGTGGGAGCACGAGTGGCTGGCTATGTGTAAAGCTGAAGGCATTTCCATAGATTTACTACAACCGCTCAACCCTATATTGGATCGCACATCTGCGATCAAACTGAGCTGATGATGAAACGATGTAAACTCTCTATTCGTACGTGATGTCAGCCTCCCATTGTTACTATCAAGTAGGATATGCTGTAATCATATACAGCAATTCTGATGACTGCAGAACATACAGTATTGTTCAAAATAATAGCAGTACAATGTGACTAACCAGAATAATCCAGGTTTTTAGTATATTTTTTATTGCTACATGGCAAACAAGTTACCAGTAGGTGCAGTAGATTCTCAGAAAGCAAACAAGACCCAGCATTCATGATATGCACGCTCTTAAGGCTGTGCAATTGGGCAATTAGTTGAAAGGGGTGTGTTCAAAAAAATAGCAGTGTCTGCCGTTGACTGTACAAACACAAAACTATGTTGTACAAACGTTTTTGTTTCTAGGATTTAGCAATCCTGTGAATCACTAAACTAATATTTAGTTGTATGACCACAGTTTGTTATAACTGCTTCACATCTGTGTGGCATGGAGTCAACCAACTTGTGGCACCTTTCAGCTGTTATTACACTCCATGATTCTTTGACATAAAAAATAGTAATAGAATTGACGAGTTTAAACATAAATATAAAGGTATGTGTCAATCAAGATATATGCAAGAACAGGCTTAATGATTAATTAGATGGAACATTGTGGGTGTGGTGTATGAATGTTAACACACTGTTATATTTTTTAGTATATTACTTGTGTGGTGTAGAAGATAATTATTTATGTAGAGATACTGCTTGCAAACCAATGATGATAAGATGATGCCATGGGGTAGGACTGGATAAGTCAGACTTCTTCCTACTCCGTTCAAGCATGTACTAGGTATAAGCAATTTGAAAATATTTTTGTGGATATGTCTGGAATTATGTGTGATTACATACTGACTGTTGTTACATGTTTGAAAGAATAAATAAATCAAATCAAATCAAATCACCATAGAGGGTGACATATCCAAATCCTTCCTGTCTTTCTTTGAGGAACATTGTTTTTAAAAATTTCAATAATTTTCTCACACATATGTTGGCAAACTGGCTAATCTATATGCTTCTGCTAGTGGTGGAGTTAAAAATTTAAAGTTGGTCCTGAGGATGGTCATCAAAATGACAAAAGGTATCTGTTTGAGCATCAGTGTTTCCTGTGATGTGCCTCTGACAGACAGGCACAGCTGCCACAGACCAAAATACTACAGAGGAACCAACCCAAACAAGGGGACACCAACAGACCAACACCCCCTGCTCTCCCCCAGCCCCTCTCGTCTCCTACTCCTCATGCCCCATCCTACTTTGGGGAGGGGAGGGATTTTATTTTTGGCTGTAGAAGGGGTTGGGCTAAGGAGAGAAAGGGCAAGTACTCCTGAATGTTGGTGAGAATTTTATGAGAGCTGATCACTCCCTGCAGCCTTGCCCCTCAGCCTGTCCCACCCTCAGCTGCTTTCTCTTTCCTCTCCGTCTCCTCTGTATTGTTTGGCCAGCACAATGACTGTGGGGAACATGGAGAGTGCTGTACTGTTTGATGCAGGAAAGAAAGGTCGAGGCCTGAAGGCCAACAAAGATCTCAGTGCTGGGGAAGTGGTCTTTGCCGAGCCCAGTTTCTCTGCTGTGGTCTTCGACAGGTACAAGTCCGCTGGTTGTTATAGTTTTCCGTCTAGATAGAGGTTGGATAGGCAAACTGATCTTTTCTCGCTGAGCATGTCTTTGCAGTTCTGGTAGGACCACTGCAGGTGTGTTGTGAATAGTAGGTCAGGCTTCCTTAACCTTCCCCGGACTGTGACCTCATTTCTAGAGCCTCAAATTCTCATGACACCAGCAACAATAAAGCTGTACAGGTGCCATGTAAGCTTGAGCATGACATATTCTTGGATTCAGTTTTCAAGACCAAGGGCGCTCTACCAGTGTGATGTTGATCATTTGCATGGTTTCAAATTTGTTTAAATAAAAGCTTAAAAATGTGTAAATTAAAAATGGAGAAAATGTCATTCTTAGAAATTCAGCTGACATCACATGGGGTCAGAAATCTCAGCAGTTATATGGCTAAATAGAAAAATGGCATTTTCTTTTCATTGCACACACTGGTCTTTTGTCTATGTGTATATACGGTACCTTACAACAAAAAGATGTTTTACATGTGAATAGAATTTGTTCAGTATATGACACAGATGCTGCAGCAGATTCTAGCCAGTTGTACTATTTTAAAATCAGCTTTAACACAGAGGAAGCCAGTTCCATAACTTGAAAACTGGACTGTTGTGGTCCACGTGATTGGTCTTAGTGAGGACTGGGATAGCTGCACTCTGAATAAGCTGCATCGGTCTGAAGTTTTTAAGAGTTAAAGTGTTAATGTGCATGTTAAATTTTCTGTCTAAATGTTCTGGTTCATAACTGCAGCAAGATAACTCACGTCTGTGTATTAACGAGCTGCAACTATAAGGCTTTGCTTAGGGTAAAAATTGGAAGCGGGGGAAACAACGAGCTTGATTCAATCCTAAATTCAAAATTACACCTACCGTACCAGGACCTCTAAAGCTCACTGGGTAATATGTTTAATTTATTTAAGTAAGCAAACAGAAGTCTCAAAATGACAAGTTGTGGTTATGGTTAAATGCTGCAACAAGGAACTAATCCCCTGCCTGCGGACTTAATTCTAAATTAAGCTAATCAATTCTGTGAAGCCTTGAGGATTTGTCATATTCATAGATGTGTAATCACCAGTCAGAGTAGTAGTAGTGTTACAGAATGACATTTTGTTCATGTTATGATGCTAAAATATCAATTAATTTAATCATCCTAATTATGTTATTGAAAGATACAAGTTGTTGCTCATTTCGTTCTGCATCTCATCTTGGCCTCTGTCTTATGGACATTCATGTCTTCAACAAGCCAGTTTTTTTTAAAGCTGCAACATGTAATCAAGTAATGTAATGCAACAGCAGTTTTTTCATACTGCAGCATATGTAGCGCTCACAGTACTGACCTTTTTTTCTGTATATTAAAATTTTGGTTTGTCTACATATGTGATGGAATGCCAGACACAGATCTGCTAGCAGTGTTAGAGTCATATAAGAGCTAGTAGCTAGACCATGTTGGCTCACAGAAGGTGTCCAACGCAGCAGGCATGCACTGAGATGATCTGTCTAATGTTAGGCAGAAGCTGTTCAAAACTATAAAGAGAAATGAGCTGCAAATGACTGAGAGCTTGTGTGTGTGTTTTCATGTACTTGTTATATAGTGAGGACCAAAAATGTACTTTCTGCTACAGAATGAGGGCATTTGGGCTAGTCCTCACTTTCTGAAACAGCTTCCTGAGAGTTAAGGCTTGGTTTTAGCGTTCAGGTTAGAGTTAGGGTAAGTCATTTAGTTCTGATGGTTAAGTGTTAGGGTAAGGGGTTAGGGAATGCATTATGTCAGCGAGTGTCCTCACAAAGCTAGAAGTACAAATGTGTGTGTGTGTGTTTAAACCACTATCCTCTGCTGCATTCCAATAATCATTACAGGCATTAGCAAGTCTGTTCACTGTCCCTTTGGACAGGCAGAGCAGACTGCTGAATAAACAGACACGCTGCTGCTGTCTGCTGAGACCTGTGTGTTCACTCATACACTGCAGGCTTCTCTATGTTTTTGGCTTTCTGCAAAATGATGAAGAGAAAAGTTCTGTGTAATCATGTTTTCGAATCTGGGTTCTATGTAAACAGTAACAGTTTTTTGTGCTTTTTCATATGAAATGAAGTCACAAAGCCACAGTGACACAACAGCTATTTCTTGTGCAATTTCTACTGGAATTCGCAGTAACACACAAATTGGTTCAGTGGGAGGCGGTATGACTTTGGAATAACAGTAAATATGTGCATGCTGCTGGCATAAGATAAAGCCACTGTGACATAAAATACATAATGCTAAATAGTTTTTGATAAACTAGTAAGCTATCATTTGAACCAGTTCATTTCATATTGATTTAGACCACGTTGACATATTTGTTCCTGTTATTTGAGCAATCAGAGTTACAGGGCAAGATCAGACATCCAGCACCTCCTTTTATGTGACCCCGCCCCATTCTGCGTTCTGCAAAGAGGATCCATGCACTGACATGATACTATCAGCTTCTAAGTGGTAATCCACACTGGAAGAATTTTCTACACATACAGTAACTCATAGCTGTCTCACGCTGCATGTGTCAATCTACACTGAATCGAATATGCCTCTGTCCTGGAGTTTTTTTGTTTGTTTTTTTTTACAATTTTTCCCTCCACCACGTTTATTGAAACAATCTACAGACAGCTGTTTAAACTCACACACCCCCCGTTATTTTCTGTTTCTATTGGTATCTGTTACGACTGATTTGAAGTTCGCTTTCACCCTCTGCAGAGGAGAGGAAGGTTCAAGGTTTTTATTGTCAATTCATCATATATGCAGGACACACAGAAAACTGAAATTCCGTTTCATCATCAATCAATAGACTATATAAAAATAGGATTTATTCCTGATGAGCATACATGAAAACTTTTTTTAAATTCAGTACATTTGGATATCCACTTGGATTCAAGAACAAATGGATTACAGTTTGGTGCTCAGAGGTCAAAGGACAGTGGCCTCACATCTGTCCCATTCTCATGGATTTGACTGGTTGGCAGAAGCATACAGTACAACCACAAGCAGTCATTTTAGGTCTTAGATGAACCACTATTTCTCAAGACAGTGACATGACCGTTAACTCTAACATGTCACTCAGTCTGTTACTGCATCTCATACAAGGTAAAGAGCATAGGGAGAGAAGAAGAACCTTTTTCTGAAGTTTAAAGAATAAGCTTAAATTTGAAGGAAACAAAGCTGAAAGTGAAGAAACTTTAGCCACACAGCATTTCCCTACTTAAAAAAGGAATGAGAGTAACACTTGAACATAGCTATGTTCATATTTACCACAGTGACCAAAACACTAATTAGCTTCTGTCTACAAGTATATTATAGGGCTTTAATGATGGATGGGAAAAGGGAAAACCACAACCATATACCAGCACTATTCTGGCAACAGTGAAAGCATGTTTTGTGCAAAATCCATCCATCTATTATCTATACCGCTTATTCCTGAATAGCATCATGGGGGTCTGGAGCCAATCCCAGCTGACACCGGGTGAGAAGCAGGGTCCACGCTGGTCGGGTTGCCAGTCTATCACAGAGCTGACATGTATACAGACAACCACACACACCCACACTCACACTCACTCCTATGGGCAATTTAGACACAATCAACCTAAGCTGCATGTCTTTGGACTGTGGGAGGAAGCTGGAGTACCTGGAGAGAGCCCACAGAGGCAAAGGGAGAACATGCAGGCTCCACATGGAAAGGCCCTGGGTCGGCCAGGGCTTAAACCCAGAAGCTTCTTGCTGTGAGGTGACGGCACTAACAGCTGTGCTGCCCCGTGCAAAATCTCCACAGTATTTAAAAATCCTCCACAGTCTTTCAGTGCATATATATACAGTGGTGTGAAAAAGTATTTGCCCCCTTACTGATTTCTTATCTTTTTGCATGTTTGTCACACTGTAATGTTTCAGATCATCAAACAAATTTAAATATTAGTCAAAGATAACACAAGTAAACACATCATGCAGTTTTTAAATGAAGGTTTTTATTATTAAGGGAAAACAAAATCCAAAACTACAAAGCTCTGTGTGAATAAGTGTTTGCCCCCTAAACCTAATAACTGGTTGGGCCACCCTTAGCAGCAACAACTGCAATCAAGCGTTTTCGATAACTTGCCATGAGTCTGCCACAGCGCTGTGGAGGAATTTTGGCCCTTCCTTCTCAGTTTGGCCACTCAGGTGTGCCACAGTTGTTTCCGGCGCCAGGCTAAACTGCACCGCTGTGCTCAGTGTAGGTTTGCCTACTACTGTGATCGGACCTGTCAGACTGCATGTTGGGATGAACATAAACAGGAATGCGGGGCCATCAGAAAGATGGGCATGGTGCCCAAGGAGAATGTCCGGTAAGAAAAATGTCAAAGATATTCATCTTTCCCTTATAATGGTTTGTACATTATTTTGTCCCTAGGAGTCTTGTCTTGTACATAAAATTAATGATAAATGATTGAACCAAATCAGAGATTTATTGTTAAAGGTTGGCAGATGTTGATGATTACAAACTAACCTATTTAAATTGCTCTTGCATCAGAAATCTAGGACTGAGTCAGTACTGAACACACTAACAGCCTCATATCCGAGTTTGAATTTGACAGTGACTTCTCTCCCCCCCCCTACCCAGTCTGGCAGCACGCATGCTGTGGCGTTTACACAAGGACACAGGCATCGTGTCGGACAGTCAGCTGGTCTCAGTGGACCAGTTGGAGGACCACGTAGCTGATCTGCCTGAAGCAGACCTGAAGCAGCTCAAGACTGATGTGCACAGTTTCCTGAAATACTGGTCTCATGGAAGCCAGCAGCACTCAGTTGACTACATCTCAAATATTTTTGGCATTGTTAGTGTGAATGTTCTATTATTCCCAAGTACTGAATGAATATCAAATTGCAAACCGCTGTACCAAGCATTATTATTCCCATGTACTGAATAAATATCAAATTGCAAACCGCTGTACCAAATAACGCATCTTTAGAAATAAACCCAGGTTCTTTGTCTCTGTCATACCCACTCCCTCCATCCCTGACCCCCTTCTCTCTCTCTCTCTGCAGATCAAGTGTAATGGATTCACACTGAGTGACCAGAAAGGTCTGCAGGCTGTTGGTGTGGGTCTTTTCCCCAATTTAGGTCTGGTCAACCATGACTGCTGGCCCAACTGCACTGTTATACTCAACCATGGCAAGTAAGTAAAATAATACAGTTGAAACTATGCATGTTAGTGTCAAATGAAGTTAAATATTTGTGGGTGTATAGTCTAACCATGCTAGTGACTTGACTTTATGAATGGCACTTTGGTCCAGTCTGAAAGAGCTGTTGAATGGATTGCTTTGTCATTAGATTAACACAATGCTCCCCACTCAAGATGAATTGTATTAACTTGGGTGATACATTGCATCAAGTACCTCAAGCAATATGCATAAGCACCAAAAATGCAAAAACAGAACATCCTCCTCAGCCAGCTAAAAAAGAAAAGCACTGAGCTCTGAGAAGTCAGAAATAGAGATAGGAGAAGCACAGACAGACAGTGTCCAAAGTCCAAAATCCACAGACAAATAAACGGCCAAGTAACCAGGTCATTCGGGTGACATGGTACAGACTGGGGCCAAACAGGAAGCAGGTCAAATAACAGGCAGAGATCAAGAACAGGAGATGGCTCATCAGCACAGCAGGTGACTGAAAATCTGCAGGAATCAACAGACGCGGCCATGAAAAGAGGGCAAAAGAGTACCCTGCCATGAACATGACACAGAGCACCAAGCACTCCTGTGCTTAAATAATAATACCTGGCCCCTGACTGTCACAATGTTGTGTGATGAATCGTATAGGAAAAAGGCACCATACTGACTTGTTACTGGCTAAACAAAAGCCTAATATCAGCCCAGTGTAACACATACAGCATAAACTTATCCATTCACTGACTCTTTCTTTCTTTTGCAGCCAGTCAGCTGTGAATTCTGCTCTCCACTCTCAGAGGAGGTATGAATTACATCTGGTCACCTCTCAGCCCGTCATATTGTTTGGTGTGACCTCAATAAAAACTACCTGACACAGACACCTACAGCACTGCCCAGGCTGTAAATGTGTGTGCCAAATGCACTGTATCTACAGTATAACAATAGAGACCTATAGCAAGATTTATAATTAGTAATTCATTTGTCATGGCAAACAAAAGTTCTGATGCTCCCAAAATGTTGTTTTCAACAACAAAGGAAATACTGGTTTGTTACACAGGACAGCATGTAATCTTTTTCTGAACATGTAGGAGGGAAAAATAAAAACTGGAATACATGTAGATACAGGACAGAAATGATCTATTGTTTCTCAGTAAAAGCTGGAATGCAGCAATACAGTAATGGGATTCATTCTGTTTAGATAGTGCATAAGGAACACCATAAAATACAAGTGACCAGATCCCGAACTAGACATTGAGTACTGTGCTGCCCTTCCCCAGGATTGAGCTACGAGCTTTGGAGACAATCCCCAATGGTGAGGAGCTGACTGTTAGCTATGTGGACTTCCTCGACCTGTCTGCTGACCGTAAGAAGAAGCTGAGGGACCGTTTCTTTTTTGAGTGCACCTGTGAGCACTGCAGACAGCACACCAAGGATGACCTGATGATGGCTACCTCAGTGAGCGACGGGAAAAAAGTGAGTGAGAACACACAGGGAAGATGCAGCCATCCATTATCCATACTGCTTATTCCAGAATAAGCAGGGGGCCTGGAGCCAATCCCAGCTGACACTGGGTTAGAGGCCGGGCCTACCCTGGACAGGTCACTAGTCTATCACGGGGCTGACGCTTAGACAACCACACTCACTCCTAGAGCAAATTTAGAGTTGGTAGTTAACCAAAGCTGGATGTCAGTGGACTGTGGGACTAACCACTGCACCACTATGTCACCCACAAAGGGTAGATTTTACTTCAAAAGAGATTGACATACGCCAAAGCTGGATTTTACTTCAAAAGAGATTGACATACATAAAAACAGTAATACCAGATACAAATATTCATTTGTTTCTTACCCCCCCTGTCATTGTGTTTTGCTTTCAGCCCTCTGCAGATAAGGTCAAAGAGGTGTCTGCATACAGTAAAGAATGTCTGGAGAACATTGAGAAGTCTCGTGTTGAGGGAGATTATCATGAGGTAGACCAATCTACTGTCAGATGTTCTTATCTTCCTTCTCTCATATTGTATTTCACAGCATTTGCTTTACACTCTTGTCCAAAATCTCTGCCATGTCTTTTGTCTGCCTGCTCTCAGGTGGTGAAGTTGTGCCATGAGTGTCTGGAGAAGCAGGAGAACGTCCTGGCTGACACTCACCTGTATAAGCTGCGCGTGCTCAGTGTTGCCAGTGAAGTGCTTTCATACCTGCACTCCTTCTCTGAGGCGGCAGCTTACGCCCGCAGGATGGTGGAAGGATACATGTGAGTGGTGACAAAGCACTTTGTGATGGAGGGATATCATGACAACATACCTATTAAGTTATGGACTAAGAAGGGGCCCAAAATGCAGACCTGGCCAAGAGTCTTAGGATTTAAACAGAATTAGGACATGTAACAAAAGCGGTAACCAGATGCTCAGCCTGATGGCTAAATCCAACAGGTATGAGAGAACATAAAACAAAGATCAGTCAGGGGGCGATACAAAACCAATAGCAATGAGGGAACAAATACAAATTCCAAGGATGAGGCAGGGAAAATATCCAAACTTACAGGTGAGAACAATGAAGACAAGCCGAGAGTGAGGGTAAAGTGCTGCCTTACAGGTGACACAAATCCAGGAACAGGTGACAAAGCCATTGGCTAGTGTGTAGACAAACATCTTCAGGACAGATGACAGGAACAGGCAAGAAATAGGAACCAGTGACAAGAAATAAGCAAAGAAAACATGTGAACAGATTTTAGTGGTAAGCTCAAGAGGAAACAGGTGCCAAATCCAGGAGGAACCAGCAAAGGATTGAGGGAAGGGATGAGAATATATAGGCTGAAGACCAGGGAATAATGAGCAACAGGCCAGATTTTAGCAGTAAGCTCAAGCGGAAACGGGTGCTGAATCCAGGAGGAACCAGCAAAGGACTGAGGGAAGGGATGAGAATATTGTGAAGACCAGGGAATAATGAGCAACAGGTGGAAACAAAGAGTGGTGATAATGAACTGGTGTAAAGCTGGGACAGGTGAGGTGACACAAAACAGGACGTTGGCCCAAAATAAAAGCACAAAAGCAGGAAGCGAGTCCAAAACCATAACAACACAACCAATGTTAGACTGAACACACTATGGATTCTACCAGAGATAAGATAAAATTAAATGATAAGGTCAGTCATTTTCTATATTCACAGTATTTTCAACAATCCCCATACAGAGACTAATAGACCTTCATTATAGCCTCTGCTCCCAGTTGATGTCTGTCGGTCTTCAACCTGGATTAGTTTATTTATCTGTGCCATAGACCTTCATTATTGTTCAAAAATTATTAAAAACACATCAGTGAAACACACCTCTGCACTGAGTGATGTTTCTTTATTATGAAACACTGTGTATTTGTTGAAACTTTTGCCCCAGAAGCTCCAACAGAACATAACTGCACATGATCTACCTTGTCTGCATCTGAAATGACCTGTTACACAAAAGTACATTATCCTGTTGAATACTAGCTACACGAATGAAAATGCAGTAGACACCACAACTCTGGACATATTACTATGTGGCAATCTTGCCACTGATTAACCTGAATGTTCACACGTGATAACACAAGTTGCTCGTTCTTCATTCAGTCATAATAGTAGTAGTGTAAGATGTCACTTCCTGTTTACATGTATTATACAGGGTAGAATTTTTGGTACATATTTTGCCAAACTAAGAATATGGACATGCTAATTTGCCTCACATATAGGTTTTAGTTTATATATAGTTTTTGTCTACATAGTAGACAAATAGGCAAATTCAGACAACTTTTGTTTACACTGTTAGCTCCTCCTGCTTGCACGATTCTGACCTCCATTTGGATTTTTTTAAATCAATAATCTGCTAATACTTTACCTGCCAACCTACCCACCTGTCTGTGTCTCCTGACACTGCTGTGGGTTGTCACATTATCTGAAATGTACATTGACCTTCAAGTATCAGTACAGTACTCTTCCTTAGCCTTTAGTTTTCCTGCGCACTTGTATTTCTCCATTCTTGAATTACATCAAGTCCTGTGCATCCTGGACAGGTCACCAGTCTAGCACTGGGCTCGTCAGCCTAATATACCAGTAAGCTAATGCATTGCTCTTGATTTTATGTTCCTAATTCACAAGAATAGTTCATACAGCTTCAGAAGGATACTTCAGTGGATCCACTGCACTTCTAACTTCTGCTTTCCCCACACTTGAACAGGAAGTTGTACCATCCTAATAATGCTCAGCTGGGCATGGCCATTATGAGAGCAGGCGTCACCTACTGGCATGCTGGGCAGATAGAGCTGGGCCATGGCATGATTTGCAAGGCCTATGGCATTCTCTTGGTCACCCATGGACCCAACCACTCTATCACCAGAGACCTGGAGGTATGTTGTACAGAAACAGAATTTTATGTTTGCTAGAAATCTCGATACTTAAGCATAATTTCATTTTGCAAATACTGTACAGTACAACAGGAATTTGGCATCTTTATGCTTTTAGTCCATACGCACCCAGACTGAGATGGAGCTGAAGATGTTCCAGCAGAATGAACAAGTGTACCACACCATGAGGGAGGCGGCTCTGAAGAACCAGCCTGTGGCCAGCAGCTCCTCCACTGATGAAAAGCTCAAAGGCTGCAAGCATTAGTCACCTTCACTCCAATGATCCTATTAATGAAAAGCTCTTCTGTTCTGAAACATACCTAATTGTACATTGTACACTGAATGTGCTCTAGAGCACTGTACTGACTCTATGAATCACCAGTAAGCCTGCTGATACACAGTTCTATTTAAACCAACACAACATGTTGCATGTACAGTATAAAAATGGAAATACATGTTGTGATGTTGGAACCAAAGAATATGTTTCACACTCTGAAGCATGTCTAAGAATTCTTATTGTATTTTATTGTGGCATAAAGCAAAAAACATTATTCAAACATATACCAGATTGAAGAATCTACCAAAGTTTAGAGACAACAGATTTAAAAACTGATGCAAAAGGCTTATATGTAATAAGTCAGTTGACAAAATAAAATTTATTTTGTCTTGATGTCTTCTGAAATTGGGTGTAAACAGCATATACAGCATAGATTTATTAGCTTTACAGACAAAAACTGAAGTTACTTTAGGCAGGTATAAAGTGAAAAATCAGTTGAGATGTTTAAAACATTAAAAAACATTTATTTGAAACTCACCCTGTACTGAGATATCTGTTTAAATAGGACATAACATAACACAAAGTGGAAAAAGGCTGAACAAAAATTCAGGAAACCCAAACTATCAAAATGCTAAAATAGAAGCTCTGTGCATCGCTGCTGCAGTGTGTCATCACAGTGAACCCATTGGTTCCTCCATCCACTTCTGTCAGCAGCAACTGCACAGAGGCCAGAGGTCACACAATAACAGTGTCTCAAACTCATTGAAGTGGTATGCAATGCATTTAACTGAAATCTCAAAACAAAACTCTCACCCCTTTGACATTTTTTTCCAACATTTTTTTTCAATTTAAAAATATATTTTTGTGACATTAATGTCCACATGACAAGCCTCAATGACACAGTGATAAGTTGGGGAGACTATTTTAGAAAAATTATTCAAACAAAAACATAGAAATCCCTAAAAATAAAGTTTAAAATTACGTCAAGTCATAGTAGAACTAAACACTGAGAAAATGAATAAGTCTGAATATTTTCCAAAGCCACTCTATAGAAGATATATTAACACCTTTACCAGAAATCACAAATGCCCAGTAAAGTCCATTTGTAATCACACATCAGAATGACTGAAGCTCAAATTAGATTTCAGACTAGTTCATACAGTGTACCAAAGCTCAGATCAAACAATAAAGTGACAGTTGTGTGTTTAGTGTCATCTCCTGAGCTCCTGTAGTGTCATCTCACTGGACAACACAGAGCTCAGTGCTGGACTCAGTGCGAGTCTCTCCCATCCGGTCAGTGTCTCTCTGAGTCCTGCGATGCTCATCTGGCTCATTACCATGGGGCCCCAGACTCTGCCTCAGCTCCATCAGCAGCTCTTTCCCATCACTTGATGGCAGGTTTCCCAGGTAGTACTGAGGTACCAACTCTACAAGCCTACAGCAGAGTGACAGGACACTCATTGGTGAGCTGAGGGTGTTAGTGGTTTGTTATTACAGTATATGGGTTTAATACTGGCCCACTACAGACAAATATAAAACCCCTAAATGTTGTTTCTGGCCCTTAAGGGATGTATTAAAACAATAGCTCAACATTTTGGAACGTATACTTATCGGCTTTCTTTCTGAGCGAGAGATGGCTATCAGTATCACGTCTGTGTGTTAAGTACCCAGCATCTTACCATATTTCAGATAGTCCAGCTGAGTGGTGCTAAAAGTTCTTCATTGAGAGGTTCCTGTTCAGAGATTTCCACAAAGCTGCTGAAAGACACTTTTTACTAAGGAACAAAGTAAAGACTTCATCTCAAAGAAGATGTGGTGTTCACCCTGCCGCCATGGGTGACAACTAGGGGTGTGCAATATTGACAAGATATTGCCATGTCAAGATGGTGGCATGAGCGGGTAAACTTTTTGCAGGCTGTTTGTTTATACCTTCACTTTTGCTAAACCCTTCAGCTATATCCTAAGTATTTTTTGGCGCCATCATGCATAGAGTTCTTACTGAAAATTTGGTTCCTGTACCTATGTAACTGTAACTATGGCTTGTGCTAAGCAAGACCATGGATACTCACTAACTGCTCTCAGCTAGCTTGTGAGGATGAGAACATAGCTTTGATGGAACAGAAGGAAGAAGAACTGTCCCAGAACCAAGCAAATAATTCACAAGCAGACCGGCAGCATACACCGATGAAAAGCCCACACTGCACGAAGTTGAAGAAATCCTTCATGCAGGATGAAGAAATATCTAATGTGTACTCTTCAAGGCTATTCAGAGCCTCACTAGCAAATTTTACATTCAAGATGAGCACAACCAAGGCTTCTACTGGCAGCTGAAGGAGAACAGTCCCAAGATGCATTGTTCATAAAGACTACTCACTAGCGACTCTTGCGATTACATGGAGGATGCCATGTTGTCAAACCAAGCCCACTGGGAGCAAATGGCTCTTGGGTAAACACACTACAAATCCCAAGGGGCCTTGCTTTTAGAGACTGCACATTAGGGCCTTTTGTGATTACATGGGGGATAACATGCTGTCAAACCATGTGCTCTGGGTTATTATCAGTATAATAAAGTTACTGCTAAAAGATGCAATAAATACTAAAATCATGATCCAATACTTCTAGGAGGTATCCCCGTATATGTAAATATACACTGAATTATGTAGAAAATATAGACTCAGCTTTCACCTAAATAAATAAATCACCCTATGTGATTATATGTTACAGTGAACTGCATAAACCACTGGGCCTCCATCTTTACAGGGTACAAACCACCCTCTACCGTGAGATTAATGAGCCCTGTGAAGACAAGAAAATCGCTTTGAATCATAACCTAACTGTGGCACAGCAAATCAAAGAGCCTGTAACAAAAACATACAGCGAATTAAACATTTTGTGACATCGGTTTGCTTTGTAGAAGATATCATTTAACCAGACAGTTAGCCTGTCAGTAAGCAGACACAAAGGGGTGACGTACACATGCACACATAACTGTACAATGGAGATATACAGTATATGGCTATGGTAGTACATGCCTTATTGAATAAAGCAACCGAAAGACAAAATACCCCAAGGTTAGGTTTTAGAACTGAAGACTTTTTAGGCTGCAGGACATTGATTTCCATAGATTCACTGGGTGGAAATACAATCACAGCCCACTTCTTCATCTTCTTGAAGCTGCAACTGGCTGCTGGCATAGGTAAATTACAGCCACCTACAGACTGTTGTGTTGAGTTCTAAATAGCCCCATCTGATGGGGATGAAAAAAAAACAAAAAAAAAAAAACACACCTTACTGTTTGTTAGAGAAAACCAGACATGGGATTACATATAAAGTGCTGGTATAATGAGAGAATAACTACGTGAAATAATTCACAAGATGTTGAATGAGCCTGATATAAATGTTGGGGTGACTGTGCTTTTACTGTTGCAGCTCCTAAATTGTGGAATAGTCTACCTCCCAATATTACATCATCTTCAGACTTGATAACTTTTAAATCACTGGTTAAAACATATTATTACATTATACATAGTATTGTCTGATGCTTCCTTCTTTTAATCATTGATCTGTGTATTTCATGTGTTTACGTTCCTATGTTGTTTCATTCCTGTATTGATCTTATTTATTTTAGTTCTTACCTTGTCCTTGTAAAGTACTTTGGTCAACCAGACGTTGTGCTATATAAATAAATTTTGATTTGATTTGATTTGATAAGTAAAAGATGCGCCATGTTCTTAAAATCAGGCAGAAAAGACCCATGAAACAGTTAGACTGCTACACTTTAAGGTAAAAAGAGACAGAGAGTTGCCTCCCTAACAAAGCAATGCTATCATTAAGAGTCAATGTGATTAGCCTAGCATAGCATAGCATAAAGACTTACCTCAAAATATATCAACCAACCCCTCTAAAGTTCCAACAACCAATTCCTCCCAACACCAACATTTGGCTTGTCTTCATGAAAACAGACTAGACAAGAGGGATGCTTACAATCCAAACTATTCTCATGGTTTGACTCACATCTGAGGGTGGACTTCAGAAGCGATGCATATGCAGTTATCATGGGAGATGGTGAATTCATGGTAGAGGACCCAGCTGGGAGGGCTGGGGCGGGGCTGAAGACACAAATATGAAGAAAAGGGATGCAGGTGTGCCACATGGCGGTGAGTTAGCAGAAGGTAGTTACCTAAGCCATCTACATCATGAGCCACCTGAGGAAGAACGTAAGAAAAGATGGGATGAGGTATAAAGGATTCTAACATGTGAAAGACAGATGTGTTGAAGCATAAGACCTTACTAAAACAGAAAAAACTGTTACAAGTGTGACACGGGAAGTCAGGTTAGATCATCACTGGTTTTCTAATAACAGGCGCCTATTTTAAAGACACTGCATGAATAACGTGAGGTGAAATTTTGATTTTTCAAACAACTTTCACTCACAGTCCCACCTCAAATTTGATTGACCGAATACTTTATGTTTTGAATGAAAACAGTTATACTCTAAAGTGAAACATGCCACTTGGCAGCTTTAATAGGGTTTACTGATTTAAGGATTATCTGCCAACTCCTGTCAAAAATGTTTTAATTTTTTAATTTGTGTTGGTCGTGACTCTAGAGCAGTTAACATCAGCTCTACCTTTACCAGCTATAACATTAAATGTGATGTGCACAATACTACATCAGTATTATAGTCCAATAATATGATATACATTAATGCAAACTGTGCCATTCCATATAATGAGCACTTTTACCTTTAGTACTTTAAGTATATTTTATGATAATACTTTTGTACTTTTACTGTCCTATATGAATGCAAGACTTTTACTTAAATAAATAATTTGAGTACCTCTTCCACCACTAAAATATTTTAAACACTATAAAATGTATGGCAAATAAAAATACGGGTTCTGATTAACCAAACACTTGAGCAATGTAATTAGGCAATCACAGGCAACTGTGTATTGTCCACTTAGGAACAGTTGAGTCATTGGTACGGCAATGTGGGCCATAATAACAGCAAGGCAAACAGCTCAAATATTAGAAAAGTTTGCCTAAGAAAATGATGGCTTGAAGGAAAACTATGTCCTCGCAAAAAACTGCCTCACCATCACTGGAAGACCTCAGCAAAGAGACTGATCACTTTTTTTGATAGATATTCCATAAAATAAAGGATTTATTGTAAGTTGCAAAATCCCTTATTTTACTTTCCTCCTAAGAAATTCTGGTATCATTTAAGGTTAGAGTTAATGGAGCAGTTGCTTGGCACTCCTGTCACTCTGAGGCTCACCCAGAATCTTCTATTCTATTTGACTGCTTAGATAACTGCACTGTCTGACTAAAGACAAGTTTGTCTACAACCAAGGAAAAAATGATGGGTTTGTTACAAGATAGGGCCCATCATGGAATTGCTTGTGCAGCAATCCCACCAATAAACTGCATTGGATGTTTAGATACAGAATTTAAAAATCTCCCTGTTATGTATTTCAGCGTTTCATGCTCCATAACACCTTCTTGTGGTGGCTTGGCAGATTTCTAGTGAGTCAACACGTCCCAATAATTCTGACAAAGCTATGGCATGCAAACACTCCAGCAGCTACATTACTAACCAGAATGTAACTGTAGAAAGTGGATGTAGGAATGGCATACTGTTGTGAAATAAAAAAAGAAATGATTGTCTTGGAAGAAATCCTTTACACATCTTAACTCCTTTCTGAACGACAGTTGAAAGGCAGAGTGCAGACGAGAAGGTGGAAACAGGATATTGGCTGCAAGAGACAGTACCTGTTTATATTTAACATGAGACCCAGTAAGACCATATTTTCAGTAAGCTAGCCATGATGAAGTTTGCTTTTCTTGCAAAGATGTAATGATAGGGAAGTTAAAGACACCGGACTACAAGAAGTCTGCTCAAGCTCAGCCTGTGCTGGACCATGATAAAAATTGAATATCTCAAAAATTTAATTGTGAATTTTAAAACCCCAATAATAATAATAAAATAAATAAATGTGACAATTCTAGTCTAAGAAAATGTGTATATTACAAGAAAGATATAGCATGAATATGATGGAAGAAATTTAAATAAAAGAATATATTTGCACTTCACGGCTCCCACATATATTCTCTCTACATTATATTGTGTTCTTGTTGTATTTTTATTTGCTTCTTACTGCCTATTTAGATGTGTTATTGCTCATCTACTTTATATTTCACTTGTATTTTGTGGCATTCATGTGGACGGCAACGTAAGAATTTCATTGTACAGGGAAACACGTTTCCTAACTGTGCATATGACAAATAAACGCTTTGATCTTGACCTTTGACCTAAAAGAGGTAAGAAAAATAAAGACAATAAAAAAACTATTTAACAAATAAATAACTCCATTTTCAGAAAACATGGTGTTTACTTTGAGGAAGAAGCCTGAGATGAGAGCACGCTTGATATTCGTGCAGTTGTCCTGGCATCCGAAAGCAGGAGGAGAGACAGGCAGCTCTATTCGTTGCATCACCTCCAGCAGCTCTGCCCTGATCACCACAGCCAATCGTAAGGAAGCATGAATGAGGAAGTTTGTCCTGCACCATGCTTCATCTTGATTATCTGCAATTACAACACAAAGACCACTCAATAATTCATGTCAATATCATTCTATATAATTAACTTTGGTAGACATTAATACTCATCATTATTATAGCTTTCCCACTGACCCTCATGATGCTGCATTTCAGGACTTTTTCGTTAAGTTTCATACAATAAACCAAAACACTGTAATCCTTCCTGTTTGTCTGTTGCTAATATTAATAATGAAACATGCCTGTTACGTTATAAGAGCACCAAATATTATGTTCCAACTTCCCCTGTCTAAACTTCCCTTCTTATAAATGATTACACCATCAGCGGGGATCCTGTAATTAACAATGTATGGATGCAATGAAGGCTAAACTGTACGTACGCTTAATGAAGGCATTATAAATATTAATGAGAGTCATGTGGTCTCCCTCTGTGTGCATTAGAGGTCGCCAGTGTGTGACAGCAGCTTCCTCTTTGCTGGGTTCTGTCGTCACAAAGCAGGATGGAGCTGACACAAGATAAAGATCAGAATAAAGATTATAAAAAAAAAAACAAACACTCAAATTCACATCAAAATGTGCTGTATATACAATCAATATTGATCTAACCCTAACCCAGTAAAAGTTGTTTGCCATTATTTACACAGCTATGGTGCCAAAGGCATCAGTTGTGTAGTATATCTTGACTAATGTGAGTTGATCTTGTAATTTTTTCTGTTTCATTAAATGTATTATAATAGTAAATATAATTGTCATTATTCACTTTTCCATTTTGTTCCCAAATATGCTGGTGATTCTAGTGCACGAGTCATGTACAAGTGTCTGTGAGTGTGTACTACTGTGTCCATCTCTACCAAACGGTAACACTGACTCCTCTTTAGTCACCTGTGAGCATGGCTGCTATAGTTAGCAGTTCATTGACACAGTCGTACTCGCAGGCTGCTATCAGGGCTTTAGCCAGCGGTGGCTCCAGTGGCAGCTCCGACATTATGATTCCCACCTCAGACAGGTTGCCATCATCATCCAGGGCTGCCAGGTAGTCCAGGTCCTCCAAGGCCTGCATCAGAGCCTCAGGGGCTGGTAGAAATAGAGAGTGGTGCAGAGAGAGAAATATATGAGTGACAGCAAGCATGTATTCTCCATGGGGGCCGGGGCCCCAATATCTGAGAAATGGACATTTTTCCCCTAATACAGTTTTTGTAAAGACTCCACTTAAAATGTCATGTTAAACTGACTGAACTTGTCGTGTCATGCCTCATGACCAATCAGCAACTCTTAGCACAGGTGCTGTGTTCTTTATCCTCTGTGCAGCATGGTCTTTTGAAACCTGTCAGGTGTTTGACAGTCTGGAGGATGATCTGAGATTCATTATCAGGCACTTATCTTTTAAAAACTAGCTCTGTAATTGATTTGCCACTGTGGACTAAACAGGTTACCAACACATTGTTGTCAGAAATGCACGCGCGCGCACACACACACACACATTTGCACTTGGCTAGTCACTGCACCAGAGCATGCAGTGTCTGCAGTGCACAATCCTCATCAATCTGTGTGTGCGTTTTGCGTTTTTGTAAACATCTGACAGGCAGGTGTTCAATGGAAATAGAGAGAAGTACTTGGTGTTTGATTGCTTGTACAAAATGTGTTATCTTTTGGCTAAAAGCTACAGCGGCAGTCTCCTGGCCTACAAATCACTACATTGTGCACAGAGGTGAATGCAACAGGCATTAGAGATCCTGACAGGACTGGGGGATTTTGTTACCTTTAGATAAAGCCATTTCTCCTTCTTTACACTCTTTGTGCTATGCTAAATTTACAGGCTGCAGGCTGTACCCCTAAATGTAACATACAGATATGAGTAGTATTGATCTTCTCAACCTTAAAATGTCAATTATTCAATTATTAAATCCTGCTATTGCTGTCCAGAGTCGTTTAGAAAGGTACCTGGTCTGTCCAAGAACTTGCACTGTCCCATGTCAGCAATATCAAGCCTCTTTAGTAACAGCACTAAGCGGCTGAGGTTTTCCTCCACCACCCCCGGACAATGAGCCTCCCCCATCCCATCATCATACAGAGACTGGGGGTACAAGCGAAGACACAGCCCTAAAGCCCAACAAGGAGAAGACAACCAGTAATCAATCATGAGAAGTATAATACAGTAGTTGTACAGTACAATTTGACTTTTAGCCATGAAATCCATCTTTTATCACCAGTTATTTTGTTTCAAATATTATAATTGAGACAGTAGCTGATTTCTAAAGTTTTATTAGTTGGCTATTATGAACATGGTCTGTTCTTACAATTTTAGAAAGCTGGGTGTAGCCAAAATCTGAATTTGTTCACTGGCAGTATATTTTTTAGATTCAACCACTAGGAGTCGCCATGTTCAAATCCTACATATACAACAGGGGAATTAAAGGAAGTCTTGGTGATTAGGAAATGTCTGAATTGGTGCACATCAGCTCGTGACCAGAATAGCAGCACTTACCTGGAGGTTGGCTGTTGATCTTTTGTGCTCGCATGTCAGCCTGGTGTTTGCTGATCGTCATCAGGACCTGTGAGTTTGCTCTTATTTGTGGATTGTAAACCTGAGACAAGGGAAATGGAAATGTCGACTTTTTCAATGATAGCCTGAACATGCTAACTTTGTTTTCACTGACATCAAGAAATTGTTTTTCTCCTGCAGTGAAGTAAAACTTTTATTTTTTTGTTTTTTGCATTTAATTGGTTTTGCTCACCTCATAATATCTATCTGTAATGTAAACACAGCAGCACAGAACGTAAACTCACAGTTCTGAGTTGAAGGCCTGTGTCTATGACGTAGCGAATGGCTGGCAGGGAGAAAGAAGCTTCTGCAAGGTTATCCGTAAGGATAACCTTCCTGTTGACACCCGGGCCTCCAGCTCCAGGCACCGAGCTGCCGTCCACACCCTCAGAGGTGTCATTCTCCCTCAGCAAAGATGATTCAGGGTTAGATTCATAGACCTGCTGGGTCAGTGGACCCACTCCAGCATGGAGGGGGAGGATCCTGAGTGGACCAAGCTGAGGACTCTGAGCGGCACACTCCTTCTCCAGTAGCCCCATACATTCATCTATGTCCTACACAAAACAGCTAAGAAAGTGAGTTGAGAATCTGGGTTTTAATCCAATCCTACCCATATTTATTCTAAAACCCTGCACATGAGAATGAGGATAATTTCAGCTGACACACGGAAGCCCAGAGAAGTGTTTCTCTGTAGTTTTATTTGTTGTGTTACACTGTGCTACCGAGGATCATTGAGAACAGATCGGTATCACCAGACAGGACTTTGACTTAAAAATCTAGCCTCAGTGAACACAGGCAGACATGCTGCTCCATCTTAAAACCATGAGAGACAGTGAGTCAAAGAGCAGGAGGGGTGTTGCTGCTGACATAAAGGGAGCTGAATTTGCATGAGAGAGTTTGATATACTGAAGGCCAATATGTGAAGATAACTTTACACAAGTTATATTGTGCCTGTGTTGTATAGAGTGTCCTTTGCTTTGAGTGTGTGTGAGAGAACCAGGACACCAGACACCCGCACCAGAGGTTTCTCAGGTTGAGGTGTCTGTTTCACTCCTCTACAAGACAAAGGCGGTGAAACTCTACAGTACACCACAGCATGAAGAGTGACTGGTTTTCCTTTTGTTGAAAAGACTGAGTATTAACTAGGTGTTAATGGAAAGATTAAGTTTCTAACACTAAATCTATCCCTTTTAATAGACTTCAATTTTTATCATTGTTGTTCAGTTTTACTTCTTCCAGTCCTGCACCTTAAATGTTTTTTTTTTTTACGTTTGCACACAAGAAACTCGGACCAAATGTTTTCAGCTATATGGCAGGTTGGCCAGGAATATACATATATTTCATAGACACTGGCCAAATGCACAGTGATATTCTGTTACGCATATTCATTCACACTGCAAAATTTGGTTGGTACACATCTAATCATGACTTTTACCCTTTCTACTACCTACTGTATAATACCTACCACTTTTGAAAAGTATTGATAAGTGGGCTTATTTTCTATTATTGTAGTATTAAGAGGTATATTAAGTATGAAAACTGTGGTGTTTCACACCTTTAAACATGTGCACACACAACAGTTTCCAAAGCAGCAAGGAATAACTGGGCCAGATTTTCAAAACAATATGGGAAGCTCCACTTCCCACTGGAGCAGAATCAGAGTCAGAGAGTGTTAGCCCTAGCAACAGCCTAATTGTATGCAATTTGTTAGATTCCCTGGATCATTCATCACTTCTCCCTCCATGCTCTTAATCAGCCTGTGACTGGACTTTCATCCCGGCTGTACATTCCTGGGAGCTTGCTGCCACCACAACGGGTGAAAAGGTGGTAACTCCAGAGTTCCAGAGAAAAATTCACATAGGTGGTTTTAAAGCAAGAGGGTTTACTCAGAGTATTTTTCCTGGGGATTTTGGAACTGTACACTGTATTGTATTGGGGTGAGACTCCTCTGTATGGTTTGCTGGTATGAACTGAAATTAAAATTTTGTCAGATTAATACCATCACCCCAACACTACATCCAGTAACTGCTACAAACTTGTACCTGAGGACTGGCCAAAAACACCATCACATCTCCTTCCTCTCCTCTTCTGTGCAGATCCAAAACCATGTGACAGGCAGCAGCCGCAGGTTCCTTCCCTGATGAAAGCTCCCTGTACAATGTCTCCACCCCGTTCATCTCTGCAGTATTCCTGTCCTCCTTTCCCTCCTCCTGGTCTCTGGTGGTGGTGAGCAGGCTGTCCAGGGAGAGGTGAGGGACACCGGGTCCCAAGAAGGCAGAAAGGCGAGGTGCCAGTGTCGGGTGAGTGAGGAGAACCACCCGAAAGTTGTCTGACCTCTGGCGGCAGACATCACACAGCAAGCCCAGCAGCACATCAGTGGACACAGTGCGCTCCTGGAGTTCATCCAGCACCACAACACCATACTGACGCAGCAGAGGGTCTGACATCATTTCCTCTAGCAAGAGAGTGTCACTGAGAAACCTGGGGAGAGCAAAAGGCAAAAAACAGATGAGGGAAGAACCAGAACTCTTTATACAAATATATTTTATATACTGTTAATCACTGTGACTACAGTACAGACCCCACTAAACACCATTAAGGGGCCAGGGGCTCTGTCAGAGTGCCCTGGAGAAAAACACCGACATGGAAACAAAAAACAGTGACATTTGCTAAATAACTGAAAACTATGGATGTGAACCTCTGGATGTGCATTGATTTATTCCCTCATTTGACAGTGCTCTGAATCAGGACACTTAACATTCTCTTGGCTTTGTAATAATAATTTCTGTATGGGCTGCCATGCTGGGAAATATTTATCACATTGTATCTACTCTAGTTAGTAAAACGTTTCGAGCTAAAACTATTTCTCTATGGGCACAGTGATACTGGAATATTTTGGAAACTTGTTACTGTCGTAAAGTTGCCAGGCAATTAACAGAGAATTCAGAAAATCAAAGTGCATCAAGATAAACAGGTCCAGCATTATGCTTCCTGCAAAATCAGAGGTGCTGGTAGATGTGTTGAGTTTTGGTGTGAGCCCAGCTACTTGTTTCTCCCTGCTACCAGTCAACTCCTGGCCCTATATGACTCCTAACCTGATCAGGGTGTCGGGTGTACAGCTGTCATCATGAGACACCCTGTATCCCACCTCCAGACCCAGGCTGAGGTCCATCTCATCGGCCACACGAAGGGCCAAACTCACTGCTGCCACAGAATAGGGCTGGGAACAGCACACCAGGCCCTGAGAAAACTCAAAGGACAAAGCATACTCCACACACCACTGTGGCACCTGCAGGGAGGACATGGCAGGGAAGAGAACAAAGACTGAGGTCAACATGAGGAAGAAGAAATACAATACTGGTGTTCTCTACTTTCTCGGTTTATCTGAAGCACACTCAAATGGAAGTTACCGTTGAACAACATGGTACTTTTGCACAAAATTGGAGCAGACACTAACATGCATTTGTCTATTTACACACAGACACAAAACAGAAGCACCATGTGTTTAGAGTTCCCCTGCTGAATATACTGTAAGTCAGGTGTTCACTCTTTTATGGCTTTGTTTTGTCCTCCACCAATCCTGAGAGAATTATCTGGCTGTGTAGCTGCTAATTGTTCCACTGTGTTTCCCACCTAGTCTCTAACTGTGTCTGTCTGCTGTTTGGTGCTGAGCTGGCAGTTACAGTAGGTTTATCAGATTTTTTTTCAGTAAAAGCAACGGTGGCCAAAAATGAGGCTGCTGTTGTTGTTCAACTACAAGAAGACAATGCTCCATACCGCTGATCAAAACTTAATAAAACAAAACGAAAATGTAGCAAAAACATATGGCAATAACATTTGCTTTGTGTGTCGTTCTCAAAAGCAGCGCATTACTTTCAAAAACATCTCTACGAACATTCAGACTGGATCCACCTTTTATCCACTTTGTACATATACAGCGTATCGCACGTGTGTTCATGTTAACAAATGAACAGGAAACTGGGCTGGGAGTTGACTAGATAAAAAACCTGGCCTAACAATGGACCTTGAATAAATATTTAATTCAAAGCCTGCACCATATGTGAAAATGTACCAATCTGACCAGTGATGACATGTTTAGCCGCATGTAGTCATTCAACCGCTGGCTGTCTAGGTGGTGCCCAGAAAATAACGTGGGCTTCATAGATAACTGGAAAACATTTTGGGGAAAACCTGGTCTGATTAGTAGAGACGACATCCATCCCACTTTGGGTGGTGCAGCTCTTTTATCTAGAAATCTGGATGAGTTTATTTTACAACCTAAATTATGACAACCCAGAGTTGAGTCCAGGATGCAGGGTCGCAGTCTTACATGCCTCTCTGCTGTCTCCTTGCAGCTGCTACCCACCCAACGCTCCCAGTACCCCATAGAGACTGTGTCTGCCCCCCGCCCACCTAAATTATATAAATCAAGAATCAACTCCAGAGGAGTTATTCATAAGAACCTAATTAAAATTAAGATGACTCCTCTTATAGTAGAAAGTAATAGGACAATCAAATGTGGACTATTAAATATCAGATCTCTCACATCTAAATCTCTGTTAGTGAATGATTTGATAAGTGAACATCACATTGACTTATTGTGTCTTACTGAAACATGGTTACAGCAGGAAGAATATGTCAGTCTAAATGAAGCCACTCCACCTAGTTACAGTAACTGTCACATCCCTCGAAACACAGGCCGAGGTGGTGGCGTGGCAGCGATCTTTGACTCAAGCCTAGTAGTCAACCCTAGACCTAAACATAGTTATAACTCATTTGAAAGTCTCACCCTGAGTCTCTCACACCCAAACTGGAAAACTCAAAAGCCTGTTCTGTTTGTTATTGTATACCGTCCACCTGCTCCTTATTCAGAGTTTTTAAGTGAATTCTCAGACTTTCTGTCTGATTTAGTACTTAGTACAGATAAAATAATCATAGTAGGCGACTTTAATATTCATGTAGATGCCGACAATGACAGCCTCAACAATGCATTCTGTTCATTATTAGACTCAGTTGGCTTCTCTCAAACTGTAAATAAACCCACTCACTGTTTTAATCACACTCTTGATCTGGTTCTGACATATGGCATCAAAACTGAACACTTAATAGTTTTTCCCCATAACCCTCTTCTGTCTGACCATTTTCTAATAACTTTTGAATTTCCATTAATGGATTATACTCTATGTGGGAAACAATTCCACTACAGCAGATGTCTATCTGGCAATGCTGTTACCAAGTTTAAGGAAATAATTCCATCTTTATCTACTTCAGTGCCATTTGCCAACACAGTGGAAGGAGGCCACCTTAACTTTACTCCAACACAAATCGATAATCTTGTTGATAGTACTGCAGCCTTCCTGCATAATACACTTGATACCATTGCCCCTCTGAAAAAGAAGGTAGCGAAACAGAGGAGGCTAGCCCCGTGGTACAGCTCGCAGCTCCACTCCCTAAAGCAGGCATCACGAAAAATGGAAAGGAGGTGGCACTCCACTAAGTCAGAAGAGTTTTTCATAGCCTGGAAAGATAGTTTAATAACATATAAGAAAGCCCTTCATAGTGCCAGAACCGCATTTTATTCATCACTGATTGAGGAAAATAAGAACAACCCCAGGTTTCTTTTCAGCACTGTAGCCAGGCTGACAAAGAGCCACAGTGCTGTTGAGCTTAACATTCCCTTAGATCTCAGCAGCAATGACTTCATGAGCTTCTTTACAAATAAAATCACAACTATTAGAGAAAAAAATTGCTCGGACCACTCCCACAGCTCTCGCAGATGTGCCATCTACTACAATGGCTTTAGAAACATCTGTAAGACCTCATTTATACTTGGACTACTTCTCCCCTATAGATCTCTCTGAGTTGACCTCAACAATTGCTTCATCTAAATCATCAACATGGCTCCTGGACCCCATCCCGACCAGGCTGCTCAAAGACGTCTTTCCCCTAATCAACACATCCATACTAGATCTGATTAACCTCTCTCTATTAACAGGTTATGTTCCACAGGCTTTTAAACTTGCAGTAATTAAACCTCTACTCAAAAAGCCTACTCTTGACCCAGGTGTCCTAGCTAATTATAGACCAATATCCAATCTCCCATTTATTTCCAAAATCCTTGAAAAAAGCTGTTGCAAAGCAGTTATGTGACCACTTGCACAAGAATGATTTGTTTGAGGATTTTCAGTCAGGATTTAGAGTCCATCATAGTACAGAAACCGCATTGGTGAAAGTCACCAATGAAATGTCCACACAAGAAAGGTGTTCCATCAGGGGTTGGTTCGCACAAGTATATAAAGACAAACACACACGCACACACCACATGTCAGGAATCGGCGCGTTATGCTGCCAAAAATGTTGAGGGTGAACTCAATTAAAAGGCCAGACAAGGAAATGTAAAACAAAACCGTCTCTTTAATAAGAGAACTAACGCTAAACAAAACCATACAAGACACGGTGAAACACAAAAATCACAGGTCGGTATAAACAGTCCGAGATCAGAGCCAGCAAACACATACAGCAGAGGAATCCAAATACGTAGTCCAAAGGGAAGTCCGATAATTATACACAGTGACAGTCTGAAGCAAGAGGGCAAGGCAGAACAGAATAGTCAGAGGAACAAGCCGGGTCAAAAACACAAAGTACCAAAACCGAAAAATGCTGGAGAGTGAGAGGTGGCGTCTAGAACAATCTGGCTGGGATTGGTGGGTGAAGGCTGCTTATGATGCGGTGCAAACTATAATGAGCAGGTGAAACTAATGCGGGTGATGAAGAAAGTAAAAAGACCAAAACTGTGGTGAAACAAAACAGGACGTAGCATCAAAATAAAAGCCTGACAGGAAGCAACACAGAACCGAATCATGACACCACACACACACACACACACACACACACACACACACACACACACACACACACACACACACACCACACACACACAC